TTCAATTCTAAAATCTCGAGCAGTTGATCGTTTAATATATTGGATTAAGTTTGCCTTCTAGTTAATTAAGTATAAATATAATGTTATTTTAACGTATTAAATAATAAAATAATATCATCACCATCATTACTTTTGATTTTTTTGACAATTGTATTAAATAACGCTCAAATTGTTCTATCATGAAAATCAATTTAGGCACCATTTTAGATTCTCTTGCAATTCGAGCCTAATGTTTAAAATAGAGCAATTATATATAATATTATTATTGTTATTATAAATAAATAATATATTTATAAACCTTTTGACTTGTTGATTTGGATTTTGAACTTCCTTTTCTATTTAGACGATCGACTGCTTCATTTGTTTGCCCAAACGACATAATAAAACTATACAAATGTTCTGTTAAATGTAGACCAGTCTTTTCAACAACATCAATGAATTGTTTACTTATCTCTCCTGCTTCTGCAATTTTCTAAAAAAAATCAATTTTTTTCAAATAATTAATTTTAAGTAATAATAAAAATAAACAAATAAAATTTTGATCATTTTACATATTTAATTAAAGATTGCAAAACTTTGTATGTTTTTTGTAAACATTTAATTAATGCTTCAGATGGGGCTGATTGAAGTGAGGTTTGTTCAAGATGTATCAAATTATTAATCAGGATGACCAATTTTTTACAAATTGAATTTTCAAATTCTCCGAGATCAATTAGTTCTTCTTCATCATTATATCCTTGAAAAAAACATTAATCAGTATCTTAATGATTATTTAACAATCCTAGTATAAAATTTTTTTAATCAATCAATTACCTTTTTTACTAATGACTAATCTCATTCTGATTAATGGCCATTCAATTTCATCACAGGTTTGTTCTATAAATTCAAGCAATATAACACAATTAATATTACTAGCTCTTAAATTAACAATAGCAAAAATTGGTGTTTGTGATTCATCTAACTTTAAATCAATATCGCCAGTATCACAACTTCCCAGAGCAGATAATATATCATGTCCAAACTCTGGAACCATATCAAAATCTGAGATTTCCCTTTCCAGTTTGACCAACATATTAACAATTATCTTTGTTAAAGAAACATTATCAATTGCACGTTCTTTACATAAAATTCTAAGCCATGTGATCAATTGCTCTCGATGTCCTTTAGATTGACTCTCATTGGAGTTAAACATAAAACATGATGATAGTAATGCTATTGTTTTACATAATTCTGATTCTTCTTTAATTAGTGGTGTTCGTTCACTTAATGACGTTATTACTAAAGACTATTCATTCAAATTAATTAATAAATTATATATTATTAATTATTCTCTCGATGTCCTTTAGATTGACTCTCATTGGAGTTAAACATAAAACATGATGATAGTAATGCTATTGTTTTACATAATTCTGATTCTTCTTTAATTAGTGGTGTTCGTTCACTTAATGACGTTATTACTAAAGATTCGATGGATTGCACCATTCTCAAGCACGTACGTACAAGTAAATAATGATTTCAACTTCACGTACTCGATGT